CAAAAGGCAACAAAAACACCATAAATCCAGCGTACTGCCGGAACACCGTTTTCCACAACCTAGACGCCGCCAGCGAGTGGTTGCCACAGGGGTGTAGTTCCTTTTTCGGTCGTGGGCTTCAGCCCCCACCTCTCAACGCTGAGAGCAAGTGAGCCAAACTCGAGAAGAACCTAGTTTTGTGTATTTTAGAGGTAGGTTTAGTCAATGTTCTCGTTTAGCCCCCCCCCCCCCTCCCCAATCATTTCGCGAAACACTAGCCCCGGTTCGCCACAACGGCAGCTCGGCTCCGTATAGTATTAGCCCTTGTGTCCGACGAGTGTTGGCTTGGGGATGTTGATCACCTGGCCGATGGACAAGGCCTGCTGCACGCCCACCTTTTGCTTCTCCAACGGACCGTTCACCTGCCGGTAATCGAGTACGTGTCACAACAAGCACAATATGTTCGCATTTATGTATGCGGTAATTTTTACGCAGTGATTTTTCATTGGGTGAGGTGGTGTGCTTGTGGCCTGAGTTCTTGTTGGTGATTGTGACGATCCTGTGTTAAGCGTACGCTCCCAAAAAGGAGCACTGCTTGCCCATGGACACAATCAAAGGAAGAACCACTATAGGCACACACCATCATGCAAGCGCATGGCCATGACGCCTAAATTATCATGACTGAATCAGAACTGTCCAACGTAAAGGGATGCTCTTTAAAAATCAATGCACACCAAAAGCCTCAGCCTCAATAAATGAACCGACGTCGTGCTGATTGAACGCTGCTTATTACTTTCTGCGAGGTTTGAGGCAGCGGGGTTCGCCAACCACGGTGACGCCGAGGCACACACGAGGAGTCACACCCTCCTCAGAAAGGTTCAGAGCTCCACTTCCCTGCACGCCGCCACCTGTGGCGCTACTCACCTGGAGGTCCGCCGCGAATGCCGTTCCACCGAGGAAGTTCAGTCCGCCCTGGTTGCCGGAGGACTCCAGAGTGACGACCGCGTTTGTGTTTCGCAGTTCACTGTCACCCTGGGGCTGTTGGCAAAACCATGACACGTGCAGACAAGGGTGAGCAGAACAGCGAGAGGCCATGTAGATGTAAACAAAACGACGGCACGTGCAGACGGTGCGTGCATGGCACGCATGCAGGCGGAAAAGCGGGCAAGGCGGTGGCGACCGAACAGCCTGTCGTTCAGGGCTGCTATCGGTATGAAATAAGTTTGGTAGCCGTCTGCCTTTCGGCTTTATTTTGTAGAATATAGGGCATGCAAAGTTGCCCATGCACTATAGTTTTGCTTAAAATGCGTGTTAAGAATCACTGGCTCGCCGGATGACCCCAAACGCGAAGGCTGACCATGCAACTTGATCTTCGTACCGTACGAAACGAAAAGATGTACAAGAATATGCAAGATAGAACCACATGGAGCTGTTTGAGACATTGCGAACTAAGTAAACAAGACGAAAGCAGGAACCGCTTGACAAGAAGTTGAAACGAAATGCTTTTGCAAATGGCGGCTCAAGGTCTAAAGCCCAAGTCTGTCACGAGCCAGCATAGATTTGTTAGCGAGTTCGGGTGCCAAGGTAAAAGGTACTAATAATCACTAAACAATCTTACGTCATTCAGCAAACTTATTGAATAATCTTACCATAGGCGCACTGATGACCAGGCCAACGAGGCAGCAGAAGAAAGCCACCGTCACCTGCATGACTCTAAGTGTGTATGTGGGAGCTCCTAAATCTGCGGTCTGTGAAGGAACATGTCGAGTTCAGTAAGCTCAAGGTTAGTAACACCAACATCGATGAGCCAACAACCCAAATGGCCAAAGACATTGGCCCACTGTACATTGCAGTAGGTTCATGGATCCGAGTTTGACGAGAACAGCACATGTCTCGGTGTCCTCCATGTTATTCTGCACCATCGTGTTTTATCTTCTCGATCACACCTACGCATATTTTCTTGAGCTTAATTTGCTAAGTTCTCTGATACGTTTTGAATTATAACAATGGAAGCACCCCGGCTTTCGGACATCAGACTCATTCTTGCAAACACATGCAACGCGTGTAACGCATGGAACGTAAGCATGAACATGAGTGCGCAAAGACAGCCAAAGAACGTGATACACAGTGTCCAATCCAGGATTCAGTTCGCTAAATACTTATCCCATTTCGCTTCTGTCGATAAAACCGTGATGGCTTGTGCGAGCTCTCGCTGGGGCTGATCTTGCAGTTTCTGGGGATTTGGGGAGCAAGAGACCACAACATATGACGGGCTGATTGCCGCTAGTCCTGCGGATGCCGTTATGGATCGTTTCCCCGCTGTTGCTGTACGGTCTCAATGTTCAAGTGCTAACCAGCCGCTAGGGCCACTTTCCAAAGCGGTCGATGCCTTCTACAAAACCAAGCGTATAATGTTTGTAATGATGTGCACGGGTTTCCTCTCTCTCCTACTCCCTCTCTCTCTCTCTCTTCTCTCTCTCTTCTCTCTCCTCTCCTATCTCTCCTCTCTCTCTCTCTCCTCTCTCTCTCTCTCTCCTCTCTACTCTATCTCTCTCTCTCTCCTCTCTTCCTTCTCTCTCTCTCTCTCCTCTCTCTCTCTCTCTCTCTCTCCTCATCTCTCTCTCTCTCTCTCTCTCTCTCTCTCTCTCTCTCTCTCTCTCTCTCCATCCTCTCTCTCTCACTCCATCACTCACTCACTCAGCTCACCTCACTCACGCACTCTTCACGCCTCCACTCCAATTAATCACTCCACGTCATTTGCTCCCTCCCTCTCTCTCCCTGTTTGGTCCTCCCTCCCTTCCTTTCCGCTCTTCGTACCCCTCCAACTCTCGGGTTCAGAATCGCTGCCGCCTGGGCGTAACTGCCCATTCGATCTCACCTGTACGCTGGCTCTACCGACCCGACGCTCCGCACAGCTCTCAGGTTGCCACTGACTCGCTTGGCTGGTCACCCCCGCTCCTGTACCCAGCCTGGTCATAGACAGCCGGCTCGGGGTTTTCCAAGCCCTGACACGTCTTGTGGCGGGGTAAACCCGCCAGCGGACCACCTCCGAGAAGCAGAGAAGTGGTGCACGTTGACCCCACGCACGAGCGTGCAGAAAACCTGGAAATATGCTCAGTGTCCTCGGGAAAGGGGGCCTCGTTTGTGGCTCCAAGCTTTCTGTTCAAAACGGAGCCGGACGTAGTTAAAACCACCAGTAAGAGATGAAGGTTCTGACGCTCAAATCATGACCGGCTTAGCACAAGAGAACAGCTGCTGAATGTGCAATGAGTGTATGTAATGATTCCTTTATTTCACAGTTACCTCTGCACCTTGATTACCCGTTCACGCTTGCACCCGTTCACGCTTGTGCTAAGCTCTTGTATACCAGGCGAGAAAGCAATATTTACGTGAGCAACATATCAAGCTTTAACGACCGTCGACTGGCGCGCGAGGCTCAGCATGTGGTACCTGTTTTGACTTAGCCGCAACACAAAAACCGGATCAGCGACCAGATTTATTCCTCCGTTAACGAGCAGACTTTTCGAAAGGCCAGGGTCTGGCAAACCCCAGCTTTGCAGGGCTGTGCTCTTCGCACCGTGTCATCCCTGACCGCAGATCCACCGTCACCTTGGCCTGCATCAGCTTCTGACGTTGCCAGAAAGACGGATTTGACTTTACGTAAGCCGCCGCGGTGAGCTGACAATTGTGACGCACATCGTCACCATGGCGACGGGCCACCGCTCATGGGTGCCAGGCATGAAGAACGTACCGCGCGAGATCACCAGAGGAAACGACATTCAAGCGGCAGTGCTTCACAAACTGTCACCCCTAGCTGCTGCGGAGGGCGGCCATGCCAAGGTGAACATATATTTGGAGACGCTGCATCATACCAAGCAACACAAGCGCACGGACGTGAGCTGGAGTCGGAGTCAGAGCGGCAGTCCCTGGGCGGGGAGAGCGGCGGCCAGGGGCGAGCGTCTTCGTTTTAGCGCCAGACGCCGTTCCGGAGGCCTCACACCTCCCTGATCACGCAGAATCGCACTCGTCACACCCGTCACACCCGCCGTCACACACGACTCGGTTATCCTCCCGCGGACTGTCCGATCTCTCTTGGCCGTGCCTCTCAAGGCAGCAGACGGGTGCTAGGCCAGCCCGACACCAGGACGGCGGCCGGTTTCTGGCCCGGCGCCAGGCGACTGTCTGCCCACACGGAGGGGGGGGAGGGGGGGGGTGCAACAATCCAGCCATCTCCCGCCAGCGCTCCCGGTCCGGTTTTGGGACGCGGTGGCGCCGATTTCGCCCTAGTGGAATCTGTTGTGGAAGTTTTGCCAGCTGGGGCGCGGAGGGCCACCGACGCCAGGTATGACGAGCCGCATGGTTGAAAACTTGCGCGTGCTGCTGGTCGATGCTCAAGTCACCCAACGCCCACCTGCAATCTGGTGGTAGGTCAGTTCGAGTGAGTCACGTGTCATGACTCGGCATGATCGTGCAATGCTAGTTGTCTGCGCGGTTCTTAGGTATCGGACTATAAGGGCATGGCAAAGAGGCTACCCCAGCGTGGACACAATGCAACGTGACCTCGCGACATTGCATGTCAGTTAGCGGGGTAGAACCGAGGCTACCCCCATCAGCTCAATAGAGAATCTACTGTCATTGAAATGGCTCGCGAGTATTCCCTGCGTTGACATCTGACGACCACAACCGCTAATCACAATGGGGGTTGGGAGCAAAATATTCATCATTGAGATCTGCGCTCGATCATGTTAAACTTGCGAATCGATCGTAAGGAAACTGAAAAATACGCACAGTCGTCTCAGGCTATAATATATATATATATAATATATATATATGTATATATATATATATAACTATGAAATAAAGTCCGAAAGTCCGAAGTGAGTGACAACATTTTTTACCGAGATCTCGTGAGCTCTTGGTATTGTTATGAGAGTGACCCCGCACCGCTTCTCCCACCTCATCCACCCCAAATCTCGCTCCAGTCACTCCACCCAGCCAGTAATCTGAGGAACTTTCCACTGACATGTAGGTTTGCTGCCAGGCCCGCTAGGAAATTCAATGACAGGCCACCATCCGGTCTTTGCACTACGCTGGTTCCTTGCGCGTTGGTGTTCGAGATGCTGCCACCAGGCTGCAACGACGGGACATATGACGTCACCATTGTCGCCATTGAACCACGGAACATATGGCGTCACCATTGTCGCCATTAAACCGCGGAACATATGACGTCACCAATGTCGCGCTGATGGCCACGTTGATGACATCGACGAGGGTAGAGGCCAGTGAGCTACATGCTGGACCTCAGGCGGGCACCGGCTCAAAGACAACGGCGTGGAAATTCAAACGGGTTGGTCGAGGCTAGCGATGAACGAAGCCTGGGAAGTTAGTATTGGATAAGGGGCGTTGGAGATTGGTGTGAAAACATGCCAAGGATGTGTCATGGCGTACATCATGGGAAGCATTCGCGACTTTTGGCCGTTGGTTGTGGTTCTACCCTTTATTCCGTGGGGCCAGTAAGCACCATGTGCATGAAACCAGGTACGTCATAGCAAATAGTGATTAAGCAACGAACACTGATTAAGCAACGAGTACTCACAGGTCGGTTTGGAGCTGCGAGACCGGTAGCAATAAGGGTAACAAAGAAAAACACTCTGTTCATTGTGGTTCTTCCCTGAAATTGACAAAGCACGGTCAGAAATGCATCACCTCCCAAGCATTGGACTAGTTCATTGAATTACACGAATCCCAAAGACCTGTTCAGAAGTGTGCGTTGATGCGCCTATCCCTTCGCATACTTCCGTTGAAACTGTACCGACAACGAAGTTCCCATCGATGGGACGTACTACCGTTTTGGATGAGAATCGAGGGCGTCCACCAGCCACTGCCACGTCAGTCGCTAACCCAGCAATATCCCGTGGCGTTGCATCAAGCGATAATTAGCGAAACCCCAACTCACATAGCTCTTTGTCACGTTCAGAAAAAACCGGGTGCGCCACAGCCGACTCCCAGCCTTTCCTCTCAACCACGCACGCTGCAGCACAAACCATACCACCTAAGTGCCATGGTCCAGCGATCGCTCGGCATATGCTTGACCCCTTTACCCAAGTGCCGGAGCACGTGTCATGACAATTCTCATTCACTGACCGGCCCCGCCATCAGCGGTTTCTGGAGCGGGGGAGGGGGGATGGAAGGTACGCTGATCTGCACCCTTCGCGGAACCCTACTCACGTAAAGCGGCGGGATGCGCTGGTGCGGTCTGCCAGGCACTGTGCCGCCGGCGGGCCCTGCGCGGCGCTTTATAGGAACCCGCCACTCAAGCACGCGAGCGGGGAAAACCGGCCGAACGGGTGAGGCTGCGACCGCGCCCGCGGCGGTCAGACTGTTGAAGACTCCGGCGGCTGCACGTCACACATCACCGGGGACTGCGGCGGCCGCACGGCACACATCACCGGGGAAGGTGGCGGCCGCACAGCACACACTACTGGGGGACTGTGGTGGCCTCACAGCACACATTACCGAGGACTTAAGTGGCCGCACACAAATTAAATGATTACTTTACGCGGTGCTGAGAATCCTGTTGTACTTTGGGTGCGTGCCAAATTGGCTTATTTTCATTGTGTGCCGCATGCAGGTAGCGAACCATGCCGACTTGGTGGATGAGGTAGGAGGCAAAAACGTACATTTGCATGCAAAGCTTGGTGCCAAAATATTTTTGATAGAAATATTTGGCAACGGCCACGACAAATTAATATAACACACACTGCACAACGTAGCATGATGCTTGCATACATATATATTTTGCCTGCATGGTGTGCACTTCGACACACGGACAAGGAAAGCGCTTCGTCAAGACCCTTTATAGTACCCTACGGAACAATAATATCCTCTTATGTTTCATCCCAACCTGGTGAAAAACGCATCCTAGGATTTTTTGTTGGCCGCTCAACTTGGTGACAGGTCGCTGATAAATCAGTGTACTGATCATGGCCGGACCGGTCGGTCGATTCGCTGTTTCTACCAGCCGGCTCTCAGTGTCCCAAACTAGATATTATAAAATGCTGAAACAGATCCAGATACGGAGATTTCTCTCAACGCAAGAAACATGTTTCAATCGTTACGGAGCGGCTGCTCAGAGGTGGGCGGTGACTTTCAATGCTGTTTCGATGCACCGCGATTTTGCGAGCGAGATTCGCATCGGAGAGTGTCATGCACACCTTCCTGGTGTTTAATGTTTAGGCGGTGTTTTAATGTTTACTTTGATGATGGTGCCGCGACTGAGCATCCTGGCCTCAGCGACGAGAGGCACTGAAAGCTCAAGATTGTTGTTTATTGATCGTAAGTCGGCGAGGTGATCCGACTGAGGTAGAAATCGACTTTTGATTATCCAGACCGCCTTTTCCAGACACAGAAAAGGTTGTGGACTCACTACAGCAATCACAAACGACCAGCCTTCCTCACTTGGAAAAGAACCGTGGGTTCGATGTTGAAGGCTGAATCATTTTATTGGTGTTTTGTTAGGATTTTAACAAAGATTACTCATAGTTAAACCTTTCACTAGAAATGATCTTGGTTGCGGTAAATTTATATGATAGTCAATTTTATAGGCCATGGGAAGACATTGAGAAGCGAGGAGTCAAGCGGTGTAGCAAATATAGGAAATGATGAGGGAGGGGCTGGGGCTAGGGGTGGGGGTGTTTTTCATATCCCTCTTACTAAGATTACTTCAAAAAGTGGGAAATTTATGGATTGTGGCCCGATTGTCATAGCAGTTGAGTGAAAGGTTGGTAGTTGGTTCTCTCTGAAAACAATGTTAACTATTGCTGATGATAGGAGTCCTTGCGTAACAGGAAAACTCTGAAAGCAAACCATTCTGCAGCACTCCTTTATTTGTATATTTTCTTTACAGTTGTGAGCATGACATTTGCATGGATGTAAATGTGACGTATTTCACTATTGTTTTTGCTAACACTAAAATCAAAACTGTTTTGATGGAACCCTAAACATAATCATTGTATGTATTGAGTGAAGGTTGTGAAAGCAGATACCCTTCTTTAAATCCAGCCTTTGTTGATAGTAGGAATCCATGTGGTTTGTCTGTTGATTGCATAATGACAGGGCTGGTGATTGTTATGCATGATTAGGGGAAAGTAGCAACCCACTCACCTGACGCCACCCCCCCCCTAAATATGGTTGATTTGATGATACTGATTGATGATTGATGATTTGATGATTCGTTGATACTCCTGTATTACGCATGGCAAATATCACAGGTAAGCTTAGATTTGCCTGCTGCTTAGCGTGCAAAGGGCAGTTCTCGCTGGCTGGTTGAATTTCTATTAAGGTATGAATATTAGTACCAAAATGTGTCATTCTACTGTACTAACTGTTTTTTCATGGTCTGAAATGCAGATGCTTACACCAGCATATGTAAAACAAATAAAAAAGGATGGTCCTCCGCCTGCCGCTCGTCACCCCCGCTGGCCGTCAATCAGCCTGCAGTGCTCGTAAAAACCGTCGCTGCTCCGAAACCAGAAACGCTATTGACACGTTTTTTGTGTCAACACACGCACGATGGATGCCCGAGAGACTGTCCAAGTTTGAACGCGACTGCGCGATATGCCGGTCTGGTATATTCATGAACCTTAAGGGGAACGGGCGTTGCATCATCTCCTCCCCCTTCGGACAGAGCGTTTGTTCAGTAAGAACTAGCGGCATGATGTGAGGCTATTAACACATTGCAGAGGAACTTTACTTGTGGAGCGGTGCAAAAGACGCCAGCAGACAACACATGCCGCTCCAGGCTTGGACCATACCTAAAGTATAGTTGAGAATTTGGTGACGGTTGAGGTGGGGCTCAAAGTGACATGTGATTTTCATAAGCGGGAGTACCATTGGACTCCCTCTTCAACATTGTGAAATCAATAAGTTCCATTTACTGACTTTTCCAGCGCGTCTACTATGTGATATCCTCAGCACGCCAATTCGCCAAAATCCTTTTGCGATAATTGGTATGAGAGCATGAAGCCCTCCAGTTACGGAAAAATATCTACAAATATAACGCAATTCTCACACAGATATAATTAAAAGTTGCACTAAGGCTTTGATTTCTCCCCTTTAAGCATCTCCTCTAGATTTCTCCCCTACAAGCATCTCCTCTAGATTTCTCCCCTCAGCGTTTAGCAGTGATTCTGTTCGAAGGACACTTTGGATTTGGCAAGCATTGTCTTCTTGCATGCTTGTTTATTCCAGAGCTGTGCTTACAAGGAAGGTGTACGTCAGCGACATATCAGCTGGTTTAGTGACGCAGACCGTTCACCAGTGCACCACTAACTAAATGGTTACGCCACGCACTGTGATAATCACAAACATTCATTTTTACTGACAACATTCATACCTAAACAACAGGGTCTTGTAAGCAGCAAGCAAATGTAGCATATGCCCACCTTCGCAGCCATGATGGTTGAAAGTCACGTGAATTTCATTGAGCACTGTTTGGTTCCACTTTGCCGTAAAATATTCCCATCCCAAGCATACTTGCTTTACCACACATTCAGTAACTTACTCCTCACTTACCATTGTAATCACCACATGATTAAGTGCCTCTGCCAACATGCTCAAGTTCAAAATGGTTTGCTGACTAAAATAAATATGCTATTTTGACTTCACTATCCAATTTTATGTCCCAGTACGCAACGTCGGCATGACCCGTTGCAACAATTATTGGCTCGGACGATTATCGACAATTCAGCCACGTGCGTTGATACCGGAAAGTGTAAACATATAAGCCAAGATGAATGCAGTCTTCCACTCGACACGCCTCCGCTGTTTTTCCGAAATATGGCATGATAGCTTTAGAAGAACATATGCGCTTCACGTTGAAATGCCTTGTCGGAGACCACAGGCAGAGGTTGCCATTCAACATCCATATCAATCATTGATGACCCCAACAGTAAACTAACGCAATGTTTTGTCTTGTATCTCATGGTGCCAATAACATGGAGTGTTGGCATTCTTATTACCGTGTTGTTGCACTCCAGATGTTAAAGACTGGAAAAATTCGGCTACAATCACATAAAATAGGTGAACATTCTGCAGAATGAGCATGTAACTTTAAAACATCATGCGATTACCATCATCACACTCCTAAAAATGGGCCCCGTTTAGCGGGCCCATCGCGCCCGCCGGTGGAAGAGGGGGGGGGGAGGGGGCGTGGTCGCCGGAGGTGGAGTCGCTGGGGGTTGAGGCGTACATGGTAGCGGGCGCGATGTCCGAGCTAAGCTGTCCTTATGCCCCGAGTCAAGGTGTCAGGCCGACCTACTACCTCGCCCAGCAAAGGGCGCTAAACGGGATGGAAACGTGCATAACGGGCATATAATGATTATTTCAAAGCAGTTTATCAACGCCAATGAATCTCTATCGCCCAACACGTCTTGTGGTTGCGGGTGTCTGGTCATAACGCCATGGGCTAAAACACTGCCATGAGCAAAGTACACCTGCCGCGAGCTCACTTGATGACGGACAAGCTGATGGCACCCATGCCAAGCTCAAAACCTGATGAAAGTGTTACATTTGAGAAAAAATATGGAACGCAGAGAAGGATAACTAGCGAATCAGGCCAGCTTCTATACCGGAATTCTCCGCGCATTTACAACCAAGCCCCGATGATAGCTGTAAAGAGAATTACTCGTAAGCAAAAACGTCAGTAGCGTTTTGGTAGTCCTACTCTCCTAGCGAATGTCATGTACCTAACGGAGCAAAGGCTCCGCAGATTTATGATGAGGAATGCTATGGGTAGCCGTCGATGATGGGAAATCCTGGGGATGGACTGATGGCGTCCGCTCCAGAAAACGAATAATTCCCAAATCCGCTAAATTTGACATGGGCGGGGGTTGTATGCTATGTGTGGATGGTATATATAAGTGTACAAAGTACGCATGGATGTATATGTGAATGCTGGATACCAAAGAAGCTGAGAGGAGTTACTCTGAGCCCCAAACAAGCTCCGGACCTCCGGATCTGAGGCAAATCTTCAGCCTTCCCTTCTGTTCTGATGTTGAGTTGTCCGTTCACACGCTTAATGGACGGAGCTAAAGGGTTGTGTAACGGATTAGAAGAGCTAATCATGTTAATGCCCACGTATGTTATAACTGGACGTGCTACAAGCTCTTCGGACCGCTCGCCCCACGCATGCCGTTCAGTGGTGATGTCATATCTATCGCATGCCCTTCCGTGTCGTCATGC